TCTCCAGGCCAGAATCACCGAGGATCTCGTTGGGTCGTGCTGCCTCTACAGTCGAATGTACGCAGGAAGTAAAATACCTTCCCCGGTGGCGTATTTAGAGAAAATATTTAGTACCGTTCCAAAAGTTCTGGGGACGCGTGCCAGTCGCACGTACGAGGAGATCCCCTGTGTTATCGATTTAGCGCCATCTCACGTCGAGATGAGGAAACCTTCTTCGTTGGAACGTCTCGCCTGCCTCATGCTGGTGTGATGTCGACCGGACGATGTCCTTGCAATCTTCATATTATCAACATTACGTCATTGACGACTATGCAACGGCACCGACATCCTCTCAACACCGCCAAAATATTAACGAGGTCGAGTCGGTATTGTCGTCCGGCCTGGAAACGTCGGGCTGAAATGCCACTCTCTCGTTGGGCCAACACTCGACACCATGGCCGACACGACCGTCGACACGATGTCACCATGCTCCTCTCGGTCTCTGTCCTTTTGGCTGGAAGAACTCCAGCGAGCACTGACGGCCATCCAACGTCTCCATTTTTGTATTCGTCTGACAAGGAAACATTTTTGTTCACGCGTCTGCTGCGCCTGCTCCGAGAGAGAATTTTCGACAAGAATTATTCGACAGTCTCTTTTATCACCTCGAATCGACTTACGCTTGGGTAGTCGCACTCGATTACCACGATGGAAGACTTACGATTTCTTTTTTTCCTTGACTCGCGTCAGGTGGAATGTTGAACCACGATTTCTCTGGAATCGCCAGGAGGTTTATCTTTTTAGACGTTCAGGAATTTTAGCGTCTTTCGTGAAGCTGTCCGTGGGAAAAGGCCACGTACCGCACAAAAAAGCCCGGAGACTTATTACAGTCGCATCAGGAAGGGAGTCGCCATCGACTACTTAGCCGCCATCTCGCTTCAACAGTGGGAACGTTGTTCTATGCATTGACAGTACCAGATGGCTGCCTCGCACTCCTAATATTAATCATTTGCGGCCACTGCCCTCGCACCAACGTGGGGTCTACATGGTCTAACAGAGTTTTCTAACTTACAGTCTAACCTCACAGTCGGCATGAACCTCGAGCGAGTCCTGCTAGGGCACCTACCCGACATTTTTTAACACGAGATTTAGGTCGCCTAAGTCGCCTGGGCGACCCTCACCTTTCCTCGACAGAAATAGGAAAGCGTCGCTCCGAGCGCAATCCTCGCTAAGGAGAAAGTCGCTTGGGGATGGACTCCTAGGCAACAAAATCTCTCCTTGCTCTCCCGATTCATCTCATTTTCTGGGAGCACTCGAGCGATTCACACGGTCGAAATGAGTTTCATCATTCTAAAATCGTTGGAGAGTGCTGCGGTGTTTTTAACGGAATATGCATTTTCCTCTTGATAATTTCCCGCTCGTTCACACGCGCAGATATCTGGATTCTCCGAGAAACTTTATATTGAATTTTTTTTTCCGAAGACGTGTTTCAATATGAATAGAGACTAAGGCATTCATCGAAGCCTTCCTCCTTTCCTTTCCCTGTCTATTCATCGAAGCGTTTCGTCTCGAGGAGAACGCCGACGTCCTGTTCGAGGAGAATCTTCGCGATGACGTCCGCCTTCGCCTGGGATAGGCCTTCGACGTCGAGCTGGCATTTGCGGATCGACGGGCCCAAACATCGATTCGACCAGAGCCTGACCTACAAGCAACACTGGTGCAGGTGAGCAACAATATCGTCAACGAGCTAGCTGGGACCAGCTGGGGCTGCAACGCGCGAACTCTCCGGACGGCGTCACTCGCCCTCGTGTACTCGGCAGGGGAATACTGCCGGCCGGTACGGGGACGCATCGTCCACACCAATCGCGTCGACAGGCAGCTTAACATCGCCATGCGTGCAGTTACCGGTGCGTCGAAGTCGAGGCCAACGTGCTGGCTCCCGGTGCTTCCACGCATCCCTCCACCCCAAGTACGACGCCAAATGGCTACACTGCGGGAATACAATAAGGTGATACGTCGCCATAGACCTCCCAATCTGGAGAGATGTGGACACTGTCACTCCCGAACCGCCTCTCCTCGCGACGGCCGTTCTGGACCGAAGCGGCCTCTCTTCACTCGGCCGTCAACGAGGGAGAGAGGTGGAAACAAGAATGGGCCTCGGGGAAGTAAACAAGAAAAGCCTCGTCCCGGATCCCACCGCCGAACCTCCTGGTTTCGACCTTCCTCGCCGCCAATGGACCACCATCGACCGCATGAGAACCCTACACGGACGATGCGATCGCCTGATGCACGAATGGCACATGAAAGACGGTGCGAAATGAGACCGCGGTCACGACCGGCAAACCGTGGATCACGTCGTCAACGACTGCTGCATCTTCGCCTTCGGTGGTGGAGCCACCGGAGTCCACTCGGTATCTTCGGAAGCTATCGAGCGGATTAAAAACCTCAAAATACACCTGCAAGAAAAAAAAAGCTGCTACATCATCCATACGAAAGACGCGAGGAGACACCGGGGAAGAATAGCAAGTAATGAATCGACCGCTGTTTCCCAATGGAGGTGCGCTTCTTTCTGCATTTATTTACGGTGAACGGAAATACAGGAAGAAGGGAACCGTGCGAAATGTTTGTGCTGATTTGTGTAACCGAAGACTCGAGAGATGAGGCCGAGATGAAATTAGGACCAGGCCGATTTGGACCTCGTTGACAGCCGAATCAGTTGCCAGACTTTGGGCACAATATGAAGATGAGCAGATGAGGAATTTCATTTGGTGACCGACTGTCGGTGTCGAGCGACTTTCCGTGGTGCGTTGGCTCCATCGATTTTCGGAATTCGAGATGTCGTGTTAAGTATGGGATTTTCTTAATTGGGATGAGACTTTTCATCCATGAGGTCGCAGGTCCGGGAAATATGTGCTTCAGGAAGGTGTTATCGCCTTTTAATTAAAAAGGGCTCTCAGCGCCCAGAGGATCCCGCATTTACGATCAAAGTGGTTTTTCATCGTGTTCGACGTAATAGACAGGGTATGGGAAATCTGCCATTAACGTGTCGATATCTCGACTGCAAAAAATTAGCATGCCACTTTTTTTCCCTGGGAACTCGTGCACTTGGAGGAAAATGAGCTTTCGCGTTTCAGATTACCTGCATTTAGGATGCATCACTTCTTATGGGAAGGAGCACATATGGGCTGCAGTGGAGACTTCACCTCCCCGGCTACGAAGTTGGATTCTGCGAAAATTTCGCAGCTTCTTAAAATTAGGGTGGAAATGAAACGAAGGAAACGGGGCTCGAACCGATAAGGATAGTGCCGTCAAAAGGGGTTCCTGGACCCCTGGACCGTGAGAGGTGATTTTTTTCCTCCGACTCTTTTCATCTTAAGGCATCTCTTCATACGCTTGCGATCAAGATGAAAAAAAAAATTAATGGAATAAAAATGAGTCGTTCATACTTGAGATCTCGATGCATATGCTTACCCAAGATGATGCGAAGAAAACAGGTGAGAAATCAGGAGAGAGGATTCACCGGTGTGAAACTCGAGGGTAGTTTCCTCAACGCAAGCATGACCCAAGCCCTAATCTTCACGAAGTGTGGTCAAAATGACCAGAGCCTGTTTTTTTTTGCTTATTAAAAAAAAAATAACTTATTTTAATTTTCATGGCATTTGGGCAATTCCTGAAGTTGACATTCCAAATTGAATATAATATATTTTCACGCTAAAAATTGTATTTATTCGCATGCAAAGCCATTATGTTGGGGCCAAGAAAAAAGCCATGCAAAAACGTTATTAATTTTATCAGCAGGAAATGTAATATTTGAAGCAATTCGATAGACAGACACTGAGCTAGACATGTTCTCGCTGTTCTCGGAAACTTTTGGGCTCTTACATGGAAGACGGAGTTCGAGAAAGAAAAGTTTAGAAACGAAGTGTACTTTTTTCACAGATAAATTTGCAAACAATAAATAATTAAATCCTCCGACAAAGTGTCTTAATTTATTCTGTACAGCACACCTATTCTGTCATTCGACATTACGTTTCCTTTTTTAAAAGTAGTTTGAACGTGCTTAATCAAAATGATCTCTAGGCCTCCAGTTAGTAAAAAAAAATATACAGTAGACTCCTGCAATTGAGGATTTTTTCTTCTTGCCTATTGCCTTCGTTCTTGTTTTTTTATTATTTAAAGACAGGACATTCGGCGGACTCAAATGACAAAGGACCTATTACAGTACACAAAGAAGAAGATGGTGCCCGTCCCAGGCGGTCACCACATCCGCATAGCAATCCCTCACGTTGGGATACCCCTCAACGGTCCTAAAGGAGGCCGAAGGGGCAGCTCACGGGTTGCCTAAGCCGGTGACTGGCACAAGTGATTTTTAAGGTGTACTGCACCCGTATCTCCCAGACATAGAGAGGCATGTGTGGTATCCCACGCTAAGCAGACACTCTCTATGGAAGCAGGCGGGTTGCCTGCCGGCTGAAGAAGAGCCTGCCGCCACCTGGACTCGATCCCTCGCCTCTTGGGTTCGTTCTTGGTTAGGAGGGCTTGGGGGTCCACATCTCCCTTCCCTATGCCTACACCAATGCTAGCCAATATTAGTCGGTGTAGTCGGGCCCGGAAAGAGCCTCCTTATGTTGAACTCCAGCTGAGATGAACCAGCGAGACGGAAAGCTCCTTGCTTCAAAAGACGCTCTTCCTTTTTACTCACCTTGTAACATTTCATCAGAATTTCTGATTTTGCACTATCCCTCCTATAAAAAGTCCCCCTGTATCCATTCAGGCTCATCAGCAAGGTTGATAGGATGTAGATTTGGAACCGAGTGTATGTCCCACCTGGTGGAAATATATCTAGATATTCGCCTACGTGCACTCCAGCAGGTTGGATATCCACCTGGTTTCAAATCCACCTGTGGTGGACGCTTTGCAAGGACCACCCATTTTTGGGGAATTACTGAAACTCCTCATCTCTCTCGGATTCACGAATCATTCTCTTCACGTCTCTCTTTCAACATGGAATTGTGAAGAACTCAATGAACGTTGTTTCCTCAAGTGGGAGACTTGGAGCACCATATCAGATAGGGGTGCTTTTTCACCGGAATTGTGCTATTTTAGGAGGAAGGCATCCTGGTTCTCATAAGAACTCACAGCTGTGCCATGTTGACGCCTATCTTTTCTCGCCGTTGTGCATCAAGTTTGCCGAGCCTTCCTCTTTACTTCGGGAGGCAGCATTTCCAATCGCTTCTTCCTTGTTAAGCACTGTTAAGCACTCCTCATCTCCACTCTTTCGACGTGTGTTCACTTCAGGTCCCTTTCTCTATAGCTTGAATGATTACCCAAGCAAAACGTCCACTTGCCAGGTGGATCTCCCCTTTGACGTGTTTCCACATGTTGGAGCGATATCCACTTTGTTAAAAATTTACACGCTATGGAAAATCCACCTTGTTCCAATTTCGCCTCCTATCTGTTTGATCGTACAGCCAAGTGGATACATGTGAGCGTTTTGGAAGGGCATAGTGAGAGTTTAGGATTAATCATCTTTCCCCTGATGGCCTTCTCTCAAAGATTTTCATTCGTGGAATACGCAGATGGTGAGTGGNGTGAGAGTTTAGGATTAATCATCTTTCCCCTGATGGCCTTCTCTCAAAGATTTTCATTCGTGGAATACGCAGATGGTGAGTGGTGCGCTGGTGTCTCTGGTCCTATATTTGGGTTGCCTTGTCGGTGCCTCAGTGGGCCAGGAATGTGGCGGGGTACTCACAGAACCTCATGGAAAAGTCCAATCACCTGGCTATCCCGATTTCTATCCTCCCAATGCCCACTGTAAATGGGTCATTCAGGTGAATCCATCACATTCTTATTTAGATCACATTCAAGAAAGAACACCGATACTTTTTCTTTCCAACTATTTCATTATATTCTCTTCTCGGCGGCAACTCTTGAAGTATATGTATTTTTTTCATGATAGTCAATCCAAAATATTAGTACCACAGCAAGTTATGATAATGAGGAATAAAAAATATGTGAGCGTGAGGCTGGAATATGATGAAGTAATGATGATGATGATGTAGTAAATCATTCAAGACTATTCGAATGTTTTGTCCTTCATCAATAATTGAATTTGCGCCATAGCCATCTGTAATGGTAATTACTAAAACATTTCCTACTTTATAATTTCCTACTCTAGCTTTCGGATTAGGCTTCAAACCGGGCAAAGACGTTGCCATCCGGAAGGTTTTTTCTTAAAAGCCATTGTTTGAACCTATTGACATATTTAGAAAATCAATCTTTCACAAATTTAGATCCTTCATTGAAATTCTAATAACCTTCTCTTCAAATTCAAGAAAATGTCCAACTTCTCCGAAAAATAAAGCCTTTTTTACTCTTTTCCTCAGGCTCCATCCAATCGGAAAATCATCCTGACATTCGATGATTTCAACCTGGACGATAAAGGGAATTGCATTTCCGGCGATCATTTGACTGTTTACAGTCCCAAAGGGGAGTCCAAAGTGTACTGTGGAGTAAATATTCCCCCTGCCATTGAATCCTTCGGGAACACACTTTATGTTAATTTCGCCTCAGATGCAGACAAATCGGCGATCATTTGACTGTTTACAGTCCCAAAGGGGAGTCCAAAGTGTACTGTGGAGTAAATATTCCCCCTGCCATTGAATCCTTCGGGAACACACTTTATGTTAATTTCGCCTCAGATGCAGACGAAAACGGAATCCGGTTCAGTCTGACCTACGGCACCCTCGCCGCATGCGAAGATGGATGGCAACAATTCGGTTCTCACTGTTACTTCTTCTCGGACGAAGAGATGACGTTTGACGAGGCCCAAGCAGACTGCGAGGCCAGAGATGCCAACTTGACGAGCATTCACTCGAAGGAAGAGCAGGTGAAGTATGTCCTCGCTCGACGCTTAGGACAACAAACCTTTGGAGCCACGAATACAGGGACTCTGGACAATCCTTTTAATTACGAATTCCTCGATGGAACGCCGAGCGATTATGAAAACATCTGGTCGTGGAATGTTTACCGTCCTTTGAACTGCTTAGTTGGTTGTGGAATCGTTCTGGTCCCTGATCGGTGGGTGAACCGGGACTGTTCGGAAGTCAGACCGGTCATTTGCGAGGCTACCTCTTCCCAAGGAACAGGATGGCCTTGTTTTCAGGACCCCATGCCTGACTTCTGCATTCATTCATCGGCCGAATCATTCACCTTCGCCGAAGGCCGAGCATATTGCCAACAATTCCTTGCAGCCGATATCCTCACCCTGCCTGCTGACTTGTCCTTTACTGCCATGTTAGTGGAGGCTTTTGAAATGTTTTTTCCGACGCCTAGGCCCAGAGTGGGGGAGTTTTGGATTGGATTGTGGCAAAATGCATCAGGGATATGGCAGTGGAGCGATGGGTCTCCAGCAGATCTGAACCGATGGGAAGATGGCTACCCCTCAGACGATGGTGGTCAATGCGCCGTGATAACAGCATCCAGCTGGGATGATCTTGAGAAGACTTACTCTGCATCCTATGTCTGCAAGAAACCGCTCTGAAAGAATAACACACAAAGTGCTTTTGAGCCCCCTTACACCTTATAATGCAGAACATGCAATATACGTTTCTTCTGAAATGCTGATACGCGTTTCTGATTATTGTTAAATTTGTGAGCATCATCTCAGAACGTATGCGGTAAAGGAAAGAGCATACATCATGATTCCACTTTACACTTCATGTTTCTGCATTAGGAGGGAAAACTTTGTTGCCCAGGTGCACCCCTCAAGGCTTGGAACACAATATTCTGCGTTTCTATGAAAGCATTCAATACTTTTCGCTTTTCTACAACCCTCCGAATTCCGTCAGCCTCCTGAAATTTGCACTTCGTAGAGTGTAACCGTTATGGTCAATGCCAGTATTCTGTTTGTCGTTTAACTCATCGTGAGGTGGTAAAATACCTTGGTCGTGCACGCTGATTTATATATGTTCTGTGAGACCTTTACGAATGTCTGCCTGCATCCAACGGGATTGATCGTCAGGTGGATGAAAGGATCAGAAGTGGATTTGGAAGCAGGTGGAAATCCCTCCAGCAGGTGGGTTTCTCGTTGCTTCAAGCCGCATGAATATCCAAACAGCTCGAAATCCGCCTTGGGAAAATGGACTTTCTGTAAGAGGAAATCGGACATCTTTTGATAACTAGGAAATGTTAGTTGGTAATTGTTCCCCATTCCTTCTCTTTACTATATTATTGGAATATAAGCCACAGGGTGCTCCTAGTGAAATAACTATACGGTTTTTCAACGTGAAAAACTTAAGAAACGGATCTAAAAACTGAGAATCGCTTCTAATTTGAATTCGTTGATGGCCACGGCAACGATTAGGACGATGTGTGACTGTGAAAGGCAAAGGGGTTGTTTGGAATGTGCTCATCAGGATGCAATATCCTGCTGGCACAGGACTGATATTTCAACTGGAATGAATTTCACAATGTAATACCCCACTGCTTTAGTGGAATGAAATTAATCCAAATCGTGCGGCCGTGGTACCGACTGATTCTTTTCAGAATCTTGCATCTATCTCCAAAAAGAGGTCAAGTTGTAGTTCTCCATGTATTTTGTGAGTGACTGATTTCCAAAGAGTATAGTTTTAGGGCTTTCATTTATGGGGATTTTTCTGCTCTGCAAATGTTCACTCAAAGATTGACCTTCATCGGACGGATTTAAATCTCCCACGTGAGCGCAGTCAGACATTTTCTACAAAACTCGTAAACACCACTAACTGACAAATTATTCACTTCATATCAGAGCATTTTCCCAAAAAGTTGCGGTACAGCATTTACACTTTTGGGCCGTGGAGAAATACATTCTGTGGCACAGCAGATGTGACATTCTGCCGATAAAGTTTAAGTAACTGCCGATATTTAGGACAGGACATTAAACGTCGACCTTCGAGTTAGCTTGCCTTGCGATCACGTGCTGGACCCATACAAAACCTCTACCTATATCCTTCTGAGCTGAACGGGAAGGTGGACACGAGATGGATTTCGCAACAAGTAGACGCCTCACTTGGTAATTCTCAGTCATTCGTCTACGTGTACCTCGAACCAGTTGAATTTTTCATCCTAGGTGGCTTTATTTAAAACAAGATGGTCGTCCGTCTAGCAGGTGGATTCATGCCTAAAGGGACACCCAATAATGTTCTAAATTCGCATGGACTGGTGGCTGATTTGTGAAGGTCCATTTCTTTTTTTAGCAAATAATAATGACAGTTTTGGAAGATTTGAAGGTTACTAAGAGGGAGTATCCTGTCGATGAATTCCAAGTGCATTGCTGGATAATATTTCAATGATGCATTTAATAACTTTTACAATCTTCACGGTGATTTATTTATGAGAGGAATGCGAAGGTAATTTTTCCAGTCTCTACGATATATTATGATAACCTGTGAGCTTCAATAAAGGTTCTTGATATACATTTCGCATATTTCATGGAAGCTTCTCTTCACCTCCATGCAAAACGTGATGCTCATGGGGAAAAAATTGGAGGCTGGGTTCGGGTTGCCTGCGTCCCTTTGCGTCATATGTCATTTAAGCTAGTCTAAACTCCTTAAGCGATTAAAGCAAAAACTGTTACTTGCGGCTTCTTCAGTGGAAATACACCACAAGTTACCGTATATAACAATTTTAGCAACTCACTGAAATAGCAAAACAGGAATTTCTTCTGATTGAATTAGAAAATCTCGCGCACGGTGTCAATTAGCATTTCCACAGTTCTGCAAGTAACAGTTTATGTGAGGTTTTCCTGATGCATCCATTGAAATCCTCCGATGAAACTGAGGAAAACGGGCTTTGGCATGACAAAAATAGCCTTTGGCATTGAGAAGCTTCTTCCTCGGGACATTCCGTATATATCCCTAGACCGACAACGGGTTTTAATAATTGAGGCGTCAATCGAAAGCTCATGCCCGGATGCAGGCAATACCTATTGGATCAAAAGTCCATAAAGTACGCTGCGAACGTGGTTTCAACGCGTCCTCCTGGTTTTATGCGCGTCGGAGGCCTGCACGGGTAGACTTTTCCGAGTTGAAACTCGATCGGACCGATTGGAATCGTGGCCCACATCCGACCTGGAATGCAATCGTCGACCGACCTTTCCAGTTCCGATCCATGAATTGTGTTGAACTGACATGACCGGTCCGAAGCCCGCTTAGGTCTCTAAGCTTGGGAACGCCAGGTCTATGATGACGTATCTGCCCCAAGAGGGACGTAGGGACCCTCGTAGATCTGCGCAGAAAAGCATTTTCGGGTGTAACGGTTAAGGATAATGGGCATGCTGTGGAAGAAGAGAGGACGGTGAAGCGTCCCTTTGGCTTGGAATATAATTATACCGGAAATCTGAAACTCATGAAAATTTCCCTACACATTGAAAAAAAAGCCTCTTTCTTTGGGATGGGTTCTGTGAATCCATATGCATATGCATTACAACATAATAGGATAATCTGTTCATGTTTGGGTTTCATTCTGGAGAAACTCCTCCCAGACGGATCAACGAATTTCCATGAGTGAGATGTCAATCGAAAACTGTGTTTTTGATCATGTACAAGGTTGGACTGAAACTGCATGCGAAGTTAGTATTGCGAGAGGAATGCATACCCTGTTGTTTACTTTGCATATGTATGTTGCGAGACCAATTACAACAAAAGAAAATCAGGATAATTTAAGATTTGAATGGGGCGATCGTCGATCGTTGGGAAGCCCCGTCTCTCCGCTCATTACGGCACTCAGTTTGAGAATGGTGCGCACGATTTCCAGACCCCGCAGAACAGCAAGGTGGTCATATACTCCTCGCAAAAATAAACGCGAATAAGAAGGAGTTCGGCGATCGTGATGTAATTAGGTACACTCGTTCCTACAAGTATACCTTGTATTCGATTATATTTTCAAGAATGTGGAATGAATGTTCACGGAGAAAAATTGCCAAATGCTCCAATTTTAATCATGGCTATAAGGTGCAATTTTTATTGCGGAACCCTAAGGGTGTGTTGAAAAAATCGAGCAAAGTTTCCAATCGAGCAAAGCCTCAAGGTCATGGGGTAAAGCAATGAAGATAAAACTTTCGGAATGCCCAATGAATGGGGGAAGAGGTCGGCGCCTTTTTTTCGAAAGCCTGCGGCCGTGAGGCAGTGCCGAAGTGAAATTTCCAATCGCAGTTTTAATAAGTGCTTGGAGCGATTGATCGATGCGGAATAATTGAGATGCCTGCATCAGAACCAGCGGAAATTGGAATATTTCGGGGCTCGCTCTCGGTAATCCGCGAGGTATTGGCGCGTCATCGTCACAAAAAAGCTGCAAGAATACTACTAATAAAGACGATAGTTACAATTAAAATGGAAAATTTCGTCACTTAATTTATACGTGAAAACCCATTCATCTTCAAGACTCCTGAAGATTCGGAACACCGTCTTCTGCTCCATGGCCGCAATGCGTTTCTTCGCATTTGCATGTGTCTTCACTCTTTCGCTTTTCGAACCCACTTGGGCACGATAGGACACACGCATGCTGCAGAGAGACCCAAGCTTCCCCAATGTACTGAAATTCCACGACGAAACTGACAGAAACCGACACGAATTCACGTATGTTAAATAATTTTAAATATGGCGTTCTCATGGTGCCTTCATGCGAGTATACAAACTTATTTGTTTTTACTCCATCCGTTCAAGTTCTTTCTCCCCCTCTCTCCCACTCTCTTTGCGCAACCGTTAAGGTCTATGCCGTACTGTATACTGTACTATACTGAAAGTATAGATAATTTCCTTTTGATTAATCGCAGTGCTGAGAGCTTCCTTTATCCATTATTCTTATTTTTCCACTCGACAAAATCTGGCCATAATTGAGGAATTATATGCACGAACTCCCTTCCCAGGATCTGCAATACCATATTACAGGGAGGGGGGGGGGATTTTTTGCTTAAAACTACGCCACTTGCGGAATAACGTATCCTGGTTCTCATAACAACTTCCAGGTGTTCCATGCCCCATTCCCATATATCTTTCCTCCCTGTGCCTTTAGTTTCGGCTTACCGTCCCTATTCGGAGAACAATGTTTCCAGTCAATTTTTATTTCATGAGCACTCCTCTAATCCGTACTCTTTTTGCCAATGTTGAACTCTGGTTCTTCTCACTCCGTTGGTATAATGTTCACAGTGAAACCAATTGCATCCTGTTTCTTCGTCACCCCAACAGAATTCTTTCTGAGGTGCAGAATATGAAGATGGTGATCGGTCTGCTGGCGTTCCAGGCCCTGTTTTGCGGTTGCCTCATTAGCGCTTCGGTATCCCAAGACTGCGGTGGGGTGCTCACCGAACCGCATGGGGAAATCCAGTCTCCTGGCTATTCCTATTCCTATCCTCCCAATATCCACTGTCGATGGGTCATTCAGGTGAGTCTGCCACATCCTGCATTTCGTTCCGTAACGAAGAGAATGAAGGTTTTTTATGTGAATTTTCATTTTACCACAGTACGTATTTCATCACTCTTCATGCGATTACATTATTCGTAACGTCGTTGGTTAGGTGAATGTCGTCGGTTCGGCGCCACGAGAGAGATGGGACAGGGAGAATGAAAGATAAGGTGGAAAAGGGGAGCTAAATGCGATTCACAAGGCTAAGGCAAACACAGAATATCAATAATAATATTGAATAATAAACATTCTTACATCTTTTTCATTCGAGCATCCTGCCTACAACCAATAAAAAAAAGGTGATATAAAGGATCGACCTAGGAAGAGCCTCCAGGTATTGCAAGGAGAACAAGGTGTTCCTCTAACTTTTCCTAATTGTCATGCACAAGTTAGGAGTTGGATACATTTGTCAGTATAGCGCCAATGATAGGTGCTTGACCATCAGTGAAAATTATACATTTAATCTGACTTCGATAGGAATAGAATGTAGTAAAATTGCAGACCTCAACAGCAAAATAGGACAGAGATGTGTGAGCTCATATTTTTATCGAATTTTAAAAATAAAATTTGAAGGGAAGTAATTATGCGTGCATAACGCCTCAAACTCACTGTGAATATTGATTTATGAATGCACGGACGTATTCCACTCCAGACTTGAAACAGATCTCATTATTTTATTCTGCTGTTTTCGTGCAGAATTGCAATTTTTCCGCTTGCTCTTCTCCCTATCCCTTTCCTACATGACTTTTTAAAGCAAAACAAAAATATGCATTTTTTGGTTTAATGTTTAAGGAGGAACTGTGCCATAGTAGGTGAATGTTCCATCGCTAAAAAGCAACACTGAAGAGATTATGTGCCCTTGAGTTGACTGCATGCTCCCAAAGCTTCGTGGTATGTGTACCATGGCTACAAACCAATGATTATCAGCAAAAATTTTGCTGTCCACTACAGTGGACACCATGCACGAAAGGGCTATACTCCTATTTCAACCCAAATCTTTATCGAATTCTGAAATGCTGACACAGAAACTATTCGCACACATGTGATGCTGGAAGATCCATCTATAAATTTCGTAACGTGGCATTGCATGTGTCTGAGGAAAATGCTGGTAGTATGCCAACACATCATACCCTTTCTTTCTTATAATATTGATCACTTGTATGACATGTCGTTCTTCACCGTATAAAGGAATCGAATTTTTCCCAGAAAAATCATTTTTATTCGTATTAAATTCATATATGCTGTGAAGATCCAGCGATTAGTTCCATAAGGAAGCGGCACCGGAAACAAATTCATGAGCTCTTTAACTGACATGTTCCTTTCTTATATAATTACAGGAAATTTTACTATTTCCCTTGAAAATAATTCAATTTAATTCATTATTCCCTCAGGTTCCATCAGCTGGCAAAATTATATTGATATTCAATGATATTGAACTGGGCAATCATCATAATTGCGTATCCGGAGACCATTTAACTATATCCGATCCCGAGGGGGATTCCAAAATAACTTGCGACCCAGATGTCCCCACTGCTATTGAGTCGATCGGGAACCCTCTACATTGATTTCACATCAGATGTCGATGGGGAAAGCGGATTCCGGTTCAGACTGACGTACGTCGCGCAAGACGCATGCGAAGAAGGATGGCAACAATTCGGTTCTCACTGTTATTTCTTCTCGGACGAAGTAATGCATTTCGACGACGCCCAAGCAGACTGCGAGGGCAGGGATGCTCAGCTGGGCAGTATTCACTCAAAGGAGGAGCTGATGTTCGTACAGGAGCGGGTGAAGACTTCGCCTTGTTGGATCGGAGCTACGAACACAGGATATTTGACTGAAGATCCTTTCAACTTCGAATTCATTGACGGAACGGCGAACGATTATCACAATATCTGGCAGTGGGATGGCTATCATCCTTTCAACTGCGTTACAGGATGTGGGATCCTCTTGGTTCCAGATCGGTGGGCGAACAGGGACTGCTTGGAAACCAGGCAGGTGATTTGCGACAGCATGATGTCTCACGGCCAGGACTGGAGGTGTTGGACCGATCCCATGCCTGACTTATGCTTCCACGTCTCGACCGAATTCTTCACCTTCGATGAAGCCAGAGCTTATTGGGCAATAAACGGGGAGTTTTGGATCGGATTAATACAAGATGCATCAGGGGTCTGGCAGTGGGTGGACGGGTCTCCAATAGATGTGGACCGATGGGAAGAGGGGAATCCCACTGAAGCAGGAGGGGAGTGTGGTGTAATAACAACATCCAGTTGGGATGACCTGGAAAGGGAGTATTCTGCATCTTACGTCTGCAAGAAGTCGTCCTGAAGGCGTTCCCCAAATAACTGCTTGTTTTGTCACATGTTGTTGAGAATGTAAATATATGTGTTCTCAAAAAGTTCTTATTTCAAACAGAAACCGGAAAGCTGGGTGGAAAATTGGAAGGATTCAGCGTAAAGTTCAGAAGACAGGCAAGAAAATCCTGTTTTTTGGATGATTGCCTGTCTTTTTTGTGCTTTTATTTGTCGAAAGAGAAGAAGGAGATGGTTTAGCAGGATTCTTCCATGCGATGCATCGATTCCCATGATCGATGGCGGCCAACTGCTAATTGGGACTTCCCGATAGATCAACATCTTTCATGACAAGATAATTGGTGGACATTTTCCGGCACAGTGGCAGGTACCGATATCGCATGATCCAAATGAGACAGACAGTTGTGACGATCTCAACCATCGTAGGTATTGGGGCGTTCGATATTCAAATATGAGCAGCTTTTAGGCGCTCAGGCTTGAGGTACATTCGTTCAGCGTTTAAGAGACATTTTTTAAAACCATATTTGTGTTATCCATCAATTAGTAACTTGAGCTAAGAGAGATTCGCCATACCAAAACCAGATGACGCTACACAATCGGCACAACAATGGTGTGTCAACGTCGAGAAAAGGCTGATGGCAATGTCGCCTAAATGTTGAGAAAACATTGATTTTTCAACTCAACATGTTGCCACGATGTTGAAATGAAACACAGTTCAACTTTGAAGAGGTTTTGCTTATAACGTTGCGTCAATGTTGAATTGTCAACGTACGGGCATTACATAACCTCCCAGCTGTCCATAGTCTGAAAGAGCGTTAATTACCCGATGAGATGGAATATAGATTCGGTAATCCCACGGAGAATACCCAAGTGGTATGATACAAACAGTACTCTATTAAGTACAGTCATCGCGCGTAAAGTCTTATTTCCTAAACTGGATCAGTATTCTAATTGAGTACTTACATGACTCAAACCTCTCTGTTCAACAGAGAGAAATAACCCCAGGAGAATATTTCCATGCTCTATCCATATACACTCAATGTCCACAAAATTAGAGATACCCCTACATTCAACTTTCCATGCAGCTACAGCATAACCTAACCTAGGTTAGGTAGGTTAGGTTGTGGCCTAAAGCAGGCAGCCCTGCTTTAGTGTGTGTTTTGACTGCAGAATGGGCAAATCAAGAGACCTCAGCGACTTCGAACGTGGAACGGTCGTTGGTGCAAGACTAGCTGGTTTGAGTATCGCGGAAACCGTCAAACTGCTAGGCTTTTCACGTTCTACAGTTTCACGTGTATACTGTGAATGTTGTGATGAGCGAAAAACAACGGCTGCAAGGGCATCCTGTGGACGGCAGAGCCTCGTTGATGCTCGAGGTCAGAGAAGGCTGTCACGTATCGTTTTGGCCGACAGGCGGGCTACAGTACGCCAAATCACGGCAAAATTCAACCCTGGTGACCCGAAAAGCATATCCGTGCACACAACCCGTCGCACCTTAGCGCGGATGGGCTACAACAGCAGAAGACCAGTTCGGGTGCCAATGTTGTCGGACGAAAACAGGAAAGCGAGACTTCTCTGGGCAAAAGAGCATCGTCACCGGACCATTGCCGAGTGGAAAAAGGTTGCGTGGTCAGATGAATCCCGGTTCTAGTTGCATTTCGCCGATGGGAGGATGCGAATCTGGCGCAGGAAACATGAATCCATGGACCCCTCCTGATTCGTGTCAACATTACAGGCTGGTGGCGGCTCTGTGATGGTGTGGGGTGTGTTCTGTTGGCAAACCCTAGGTCCCCTCATACCCTTGGAAGGTCGTCAGGACAGTACGGCATACCTGAACATCGTTGCCGTTCAACATCACAGGCTGGTGGCGGCTCTGTGATGGTGTGGAGTGTGTTCTGTTGGCAAACCCTAGGTCCCCTCATACCCTGGAAGGTCGTCAGGACAGTACGGCATACCTGAACATCGTTGCCGATCGGGTTCATCCCTTTATGACCACCGTTTTCCCTTTAGCCGATGGATACTTTCAGCAGGACGATGCACCGTGCCACAAGGGCCGTATCGTCATGGATTGGTTCGAGGAACATGCCCAGGAGTTTACCTTGCTCCAGTGGCCCGCACAGTCCCCTGATCTCGATCCAATAGAACATCTTTGGGATGAGGTGGAACGGGCGGTGCAGGGCTTGCCTGTACTACCATCAAACAAGCGGCAACTGAGTGACGTTGTGCTAGCAGCATGGGTCGGGATACCTGCAGAGTGCTTCCATCACCTCGTGGAATCCATGCCACGACGAATTGATGCTGTTTTGAGGGCCAAAGGCGGTCCAACACGCTACTAGTGAGGTATCTCTAATTTTGTGGACATTGAGTGTACATCAGAGGCTGACCTATCTGTCATTCCGCTAAACTCCTTTTAGGCTGATGAACGGATTTTCATGAGTGAGGTGTCAGTCGAAAGCTTAGGACCCGGAGACGATACTTATTGGGTCAAAAGTCTAAAAAGTTCGCTGCGCACGTTGTTACTATGCGTCGTTCCTGTCTGTCTGCGCGTCGGAGACCTGCCCGGGTACACTTTTCCAAGTCGAAAATGGATCGGCCCGATTGGTATCGTTGCCCGCACCTGACCCGGAACGCAATTGTCGACCGAGCTTTGCTACTCCGAGCCGTGAATCGTGCTGTGCTGATATGGCCGGCCCGCATCCCGCTTAGGCCTCTAAGCTTGAAAACGCCAGGTCTCTGATGACGTATTTGCCCCAGGGGGGGGACTCTCGCAGATATGCACAGAAACGCATTTGCGGATGTAACGGTTCAGAATGAAGGGCAATTTAGTAAAAGCAGGCAGGGTGGCGAAGCGTGTCTTTGGCATGAGAAACCGTGCAAGACAGTTATATCGGGAAATCTGAAACTCATGAAAACTTTTTTTCACAGAACAATTTCACAGAGCGCCGCCATACCTGAAAACTTAGACTGATAGGTAAATAGCTGATAGACATCGGGTTACAATCTGGGATTTGCCCCTCGTCCTATTTCGCCCATCCTTCCCGTAAACATTTTCTTCTCCCGTAGTTTTACTTAACGGGGACATTTTTCTTTGGAATGGCGTATACCCCTCAACCTACTTAATTACATTCATGTATCTGAGCAGCAAGTTCGAGAGTAGGACAATTCAATGCCTCGATTCTCCATAAATTGCTCCAAGAGCTGGAATTTCGGCAAAGGTTTCCTTCGAATAAATATTCTTCCTTCTGTCTGTAGGAGCACATTTGTCGTAACATAATCCTGCCAGAGTCCAACTTCAGCAATTGCCGGAGGTCATGATGGTGAGACACTCGCATTCAAATTGTCGATTTTGCCATTAAAACCTTTAGAATTCCATCTAGATCTCGAATTTCGTTTCAATCCCCCCTTTTCTTCATCACCACATGAACAGCATGCGAACGATGAAGAACAAGCAAGAAACGATGAGGTTACTGGCCCAAGGTCATTCCACCATACGAATGCGGTAATGTTGCAATAAAGCTAAACACATGATTTTTCACTCAATAAAATTGCCACTTTCTGATGGTTATATGATTATCAAGTCCATCAAGTCCAACAAGCCAATTAATGTGGAGTTTGGACAGTAATTTGATGATTTTCCCTTCTTACCTACCCTTCTGTGCATGGAGGGAGAATGAAGGAGCACTTCCTAAATGATTTTACGAATAATCTGTACATATCGGTAACACGTGTAGCAGCTGTTAGGGAATAGAGGATGTCGTTTCTCTTTTTCTCGATCGGTTATCATATCAAGGTGCGATCGTTTCCATGGGAATTCCCGCATTTGTAGTATATTTTGCTCTCGACTGAGAAGCCGAAGCATTTTCCACGTCCCTTGCATCTGTGCCTTCCCTCTACAAATCCCTGAAGCCGTCCAGCTTCACAGCCAAGAACCATCTGCGATACTCATCTCTCATCCCTATTGCTTTACGTTATCTCACGTTTGGTCCCTCGACTTCACGAAGGTGTGTGCATTCCTGGTATTTTCCCTCTCCCCCTCTACCGACAGCCTCCTTTCAACCAGTGCTTACCGGAACATTTTGCAGATGGCGCATGGCGTTGTTATATCTATTTGCTTCGTGCTGAGTTCCTTGTTGAGTGCCTCCGTGTCCCAAGAATGCGACGAAGTCCTCACTGGTCCCCTTGGAGAAGTCCAATCTCCTGGTTACCCTGACTCCTACCCCCCCAACACCAGATGTCACTGGCTCATTCAAGTGAGTCGATTTCACCTTAGATTTGAGCCTGCGTGTATCATGGAAATGATGCTTTTCTTTTATATCTGATTTCGAGGTGTGCTCTATTGCGTCGAAACAATTGGTTCAAAGTTCCCATTCCCACTTCTCCAAAAGATTGCGCTGGGGATACCGGATACTTCAATATCGCGAGCCTGTTTCATTCAAGCAGTACTTAAAGGACAGAACCTTTTCTTCACTCGCAAGGCCGATGAAAAATTGGTTATTGAAGAAAGCAATTTATTGCATGAACTATATGCATCATTCTCTTGAATATGACTTCACAAATGCTTATTCTGCCATGCATCTCAGAGTCGAACAAACTCCTGCGGGCGCTAAAACCAAGCTTATGAAGCACTGCCTTAAAACATGCGTTACTGGAAATGCATGCAGCCGCACTAAAGTAACCAGAATATTATTGACAATCATAATATGGCTGTTTCGGTGAGATGGGGTCCCTTTGAGGTCTTCTGGCCTGACTCTAATGTTTTTCTTTCTGAGGTGCCACATTTCTTGCACAGTGTGACGCTACGAAAGTCTACCAAAGGTGAATGCTTTCAAAGGAGGAATATTCGAACTTTCGACGAGTGCCAAAACAACCTTCTCAATACATGCACTACAGTGATTGCAGAACGGTACACAGAAATGTTAGGACAATGTAGAAAATCATGTTGAACTTACATACCTTCAGGAATTCGAACCTCATGTGCAAGGAACTTGAATCCCTATGCTATAATGCTCAAGTATGATTCATTATGCTGCTCTATTTTCTTTGGAAATAATTCTTTAAAAATAGTAAATATGTAGCACTAAATTCCTAACAGTCCTGCATTAAAGTATTTCTGATATTGATTAGATGAGATCTACGACCTCAAATCCGGAAAACCTAAGGATTTTCATAAAAATTTTATAAAACATATGTTCTTTTCCGTTTTCCCAAGGCTCCACCAACTCGAAAAATCATTCTGAACTTGAATGACTTCAACTTGGAGGACAGCGCGGATTGCTTCTCCGGCGATTACCTGACTGTTACCGATCCGAAGGGTGAGTCCAACATGTTCTGCGGCCAAGAGCATCCACAGAGCATTGAGTCGGTTGGGAACGTCCTCTATGTCGACTTTTGGTGACTGCTACTACTGGTTTTGCCTAAGGCTAAATCAAAGTGAATGGCCTGGCAAAGGTGCACGCTTCTTCCTACCCTCCTTAAGCCTAGGGTAACAATAAAGAAGAGCCTTCTCCTTTACCCAATTAATGACGCTCGAGATGACTGCGAGGCCAGGAATGCCAACTTGACGAGTATTCACTCGGACGTTCTTGTCTACAAGTAAGTTCTCTCTACGGTAAGCGGCTGCCAAACCTAGCCGCGATAAGGATGACCTACAGTCACCTTACTGGGGAAGACGATAGTGAAGTAGCTACCTTGCGGGTTACTGATAGTTAAAATGTGGCAGGGAACGTTTCTAGTTGGTTCCTGCACGGGATTACAATGCGCCATCGCCCTAGTTCCAGATCTGTGGAGGAACCGGGACTGTTCGGAAAAGAGGCCAGTGATCTGCGAAGTCTCCACAAAGGAAAGAAGCGAGGATTGGATCTGCATAACCCCTTATAGTATCTGCTTCCACCTCTCCAATGAATCCTTCTCCTTCGACGATGCAAGATCTTATTGCCGACAATTTGCTCCGGCTGATATCCTCTTCTCCGTGGGAAACGACCAAGATCTGCAAGGGCTTCTGGCTTTCGCCTTGGAAGGACCATGGCATTTCGAACATCCCCTGCCAAAATGGAGTGAGTTTTGGGTCGGATTGAGGCGAGAGGTGTCAGGGGACTGGGCGTGGGTCAACGGATATCCCTTCAACGAGGACCGATGGGAAGAGGGTTTTCCCACAGACGACGGTGGCGATTGCGCCGTTATGACTACATCTTCCTGGGATGATAGCATGAAAGGGGCTCTCGCATCCTATGTCTGCAAGAAGTCGTCCGAAAGGAACGACCATTAAGTTTTTCGCAGCCCTTCTTGTCTTTACGTGACTGCGAATATATTTCAGTAAAGGCTTTTCAAAAGCTTCATTTTTTCCAATATAAATCGTAGGATCTTTAAATACGAACAGCCTCATTTCCTCCAATTATTTATATTAAATTGACTCCATCATAATTGTTTGAACTAAAATTTTCAAAGAAATTGCAGTCCATTTAACGAGTCAATAAAAAAGAAGTTATCCCTGTCCCATTTGCGGTTAGCGAGATATCGCTCACCGAACTTTGGGAAAAACATAAAAAAAAAACAGGCGGCAAAATGTCCATATCAGAAACCGCTTGCCATACCGAGGCGGGCAACGGCTCAAACCAGAGTTCTTCAATCAGTGAAGAATTCTTTTCCTTCGTCTTCGTGGTTTGAATCAGCACCAATTGAAGTAGAAAATGCGAAAGTTATGCAAGTATATTCATCATATCCTCAAAATCATGTAGAGAAGAAGAAAAAGGCGGCGCTGAGAATAATCGGCACTCTCACCAATATTCACTTGCTGAAGATCGAGACCGCTTTAAAGTTATTCACCATCAAGCTAACCCCTCTTACAGACAACACTGACCTTCACAGATCATGTAGAGAAGAAGAAAAAGGCGGCGCTGAGAATAATCGGCACTCTCACCAATATTCACTTGCTGAAGATCGAGACCGCTTTAAAGTTATTCACCATCAAGCTAACCCCTCTACTCACTTATGGACTAGAGATAATCGCCCCATACCTGAAACTTCGACACCTCCTGGAATTGGACAAGGTGAAAAGTGCCTTCCTGAAAAAGACACTCTGCCTCTCTCGTAACACCTCTACCACCCTGGCGCACCAAATGATCGGTACTAGGTGAGAGACACTTCTTGAGTTTTGCTGGTTGGCGAAAGGTAAGTTCCCTACACACACCTGTCTTATACTTCGACTCCACTTCCTTTCCGCAACCTTCAAACATCATTTTTTGAAGTGCCTTCCGGCGGCTTTCACCTGTCACTTCTGGAAAGAAGCGAACCAACCTAACCGCCACCTCATAACGAGATTCACTAGCCACGGTTTTCACCATAAGATATGCAATCGGAAAGATTTTCACGACCCTGAACCCACCTGCGTCTGCCGTCTCTGTGAGACTCCTGCAGATCAACGAGACCACCTGATGGATTGCCCTGCAAAGGGAGACTCCAGTCTCATCTCCAAGCTACAGGAACTGCAAGCCCCCACATCAGAGTGAACCAACGGCCCCAACACCATACTTCTTTCCCCATTGACTGTACTTCTTCATATTTTGACAATGCCAATGCACTGTCCTGACTGAGGACGAAAATGAAATAATACACATATATTCGACATCGAGAATGTATGAAACTAACCCCAATCCATCACAATGAGTGAATAGAGAATTCACTCATTGTGATGGATTGGGGTTATGTGTTATGATCCATGTCTGGTAAAACACCGAAACCGAAAAAATCTGGGTCTAAGGTCGAGATAAAGCCTGAATAGCCACATATTGTAAGGATAAGACCGATTTTCATGGATCCATCACACTCGCACAATGCTTCACAATAGGGGAATCATCTTTCCATGTTTGGTGAGACGATGAAACCGAGTCGATTCAGCTTTAAGTTCGAAAATAAGCAGAAAAAGCCTTATATCTGAAGGATACGGCCGATGTGGATGCATCGCACCGCCTCTGACATATCACAATCGATATCACACTCCAATATCACAATCCAATCTTGGTAAAACGATGAAACCGAGCCATATAGTTATGGCCATATGACGCAGGAAGGCCTCAAATCGTAAGGATACGAACGACTTCGTAGATGTATCAAACTCCCCTAATTTATGACGATGTTTAAGGCCGAGATAAAGCCTGAAAAGCCACAGATCGTAAAAATATTTGGGTCTGTCCACACAAACGGACGTGACATACGGAGTAATATGTTAAGTATAAAAAATTAATTTAACTATGTTATGGATGGCAAATAAGCATATAAAGGCTACAACAATTTGCTTTGGGTAGTGACTGAAAATTCCATAATCCAAAGTCTTGCACTCTCTCTTTAGTTAAAGGTGTACCTATGTGCAAAGAAAAGTGTCAGACGTGACATTGTGAACCCTCAAGTTAGTCACTTGCTCTAATGTTCACATATCTGTCATCTAGCGGACCCTAATAATTTAGTTTCATGTTCGTTCTCAAGATTGAATGAAAGCCTGAAACTAGTATAAGTCACCCCAAGATTACAACATATGAAACAGAAAGTAAGCCAATTTTGTGACGGTGTCGGATGTGACAAGTTCTGAAAATGTATTTTGAAACAGGAAATTTGTACATATCTTTTAATTTTATTTTAAAGACATCATTCAAATGTGAACAATTGACATATACTCTTCACACCTGAGCTGATTATTATAAACCTGAGCTGAAATTATCAGTATGCATGGAAAGCCCATGCTGACATCTATTCCATTCAGTCTCTCCAGATTTGCATTTTCATCCTATTTTTGAGTATCATGAGAAGGGTATGAATATCATAATCATGACTAATTCTTTTATTTTTCAATGTTTCTTTTTTTTCTCTTTCATTCATGTCTTCATGGAAAAGAGATGGACTTCTGTAGCAATAGTAATATTTGCATATTTAGGAAAATTCCGCTAAAAATCCGAGGACCATTTGGCGTGGACATATCGACATCGAGAAAGTATGAAATTCTTCCAATCCATCACAATAAGTGAATCCTCTATCCATGTCTGGTGAAACCATTAAACCAAACTAATCTAATAAGGTCGAAATAAAGCCTCAAAAGACATCGTAAGGATACGACCGATTTCACGATCACACTCGCAAAATCCGATTCGTTCGTGAGATTAGAATGAGAAACTCTCAAGAAAAGATGGGAAATTTCTCCCCTCTATACAGCACTGTGCACGCGGGGTCTCGTGATTGGCAATCAACCACAGATAAGACAACGAAATGGAAGAAATTGCCTGGCAGCAGCAGCAGGGAAGTCTGGAACATCTCACCTTCCTCTCTCTTTCGGAGACTTCAATTTGTGTCTATTATACTTCGTTTATTATTATTCTTCAGTTCACGTCACCATACTCAGACGCTGATTGGCCTGAAGACTAGAAGGAATCTGCCAAAATTGGGTCTAGAATTCGTCCCGAATCCTTAGTTACTGAGATCCCTTGACAGACATCAGGAAAAGCTATAAGATTATTGGGAAGACCACCCATCTGTCCGTCAATGTTTCCTTCCTCCCCATGGGGAACAGAAGTAGCAAATCCAGCAGTAACAAAGCAAGTAATAAAACCAACGTAGGAACACTACACTTGATCATCATCATCATCACCATTATGTATACAGGTTACAGGTTACAGTTAAATGTTATATCGTTAATGAAATTGAACATTACCATAACTCATGACAGACAAGAACCTGGCAACTTAAACTTCATGAAATAGGACATGTGATGGCCTGATGCCAAAAAAGTTTGAACAATGAATGCTCACATGAGATCAACACCAAAGAAACGTAAAGATGAAAGTAGACACAACTTGGGGAATAGCTGTCAATCCATGGAGATGATGAGTTTCCCAGCTGTCTGCCTCTCCTTGGAGAAGATGTGACGAAAGGCATCGCTGGCATTTGCCAACTGGTACGTTTTCTCAATGAAGGGTTTCACCCAGCCAGACTTGATGCCATCCTCGATGTATGCAATTGCCACCAACCATTCCTCCTGTACCAGAAAGTGAAATAAACTTGTTATTAGTAGGGCTGTTCCGATGGCCACCTTTGACCGGTGGGCCGATGGCCGATTTTCATCTCAAAACCATCGGCCGGTGTCGGTGCAGATTGTCGTCTGAAATTTGAGACGTAACATCAAATGGCAAACTAATTGAAACAGGCCTATTTGGAAGACATATCAGCGGGCCCTCTAAAAACGATAGATATCGATTTAGTATTTTCTGTCCGTCAGTGCAACCTACTGCTGCTGTGAAGAGTAATAAACGACACACCTTTCTCTAAAGCATAAGATAAAAGGAGGTGCAATGATTTCCGTTCTCCACTGCTATTTTCCTCTGCAATTCCAAGAATGGGGTTGAATGGCCTTTC